CCAAATCCCAGACGTACCACTTACTGGCCTGAGGGGATTCCTCATGTTGATGTTTTGTGAATTGAGTGGAATGCATGCACCTATGCTTAGCAGGATGAGCTCACAGTAGCGCCAAACTGATGTTGCTCTCTCCTCAAAGGGCCACTTGAGTCATCTTGAAAGATTTCTAGTAAGTCTTCCCTTTCTTATAACTGCCAGGGCTGTATGGATGGGCAGAGATTCTGTTTGCCTGTTATGATGTGAACTTAATCATACGGACTCCTGCAGAGCCTTACAAATAAACCAATTATTTCACTATTTCATTATTTCCCAGTCCTTCCTTGAATCTAGATTCAAGAAAAGCCATCTAATATGCATGCTACCCTGTGAGAAGATACCCCAAAGCCATCATTGCTTCAGGATACAAATTTTCTTCATCTCACAGCTAGCACCCATGTCCCCTTAACTTGCAAAAAAAAAAAAAAAAATCCTCATTGCATGCATCCATCAACATGGCACATTGCAGAGCATAATATTTGGAGAAAAATGAGGCAAAATGCACTTAACAGAATTACAAGCATATGGTGAGGTTCTCCAACAAGTTATTTATAATCTTGGTTAACCTTGCAATATTATTGCCATTTTCCTAGGTTTTATGTAACAGCATTAAAATTTTGTGCTTACCTTTTAACATAAGGATTATCTTATCTCCTTTTCTTCTATTTAGCCTTGGCTTTTCTCCCTTACTCCCAAATTTCTAGCAGTGTGACCACAGACAAGCAAAGCTCAGAGGTAGTTAATGTTATAGGAATGCTGTTTTCCAGGCTCTAGTGCATAGCAACAGCGCCACCAAGAGGACAAGGTCCCAAGTTTCTAGATCTATTCCATTTCTTTGCTGAACAGCACCTCAGTGTTTTACATGATCATTCCTGGCTGCTGTGTATCCAAAACATAACATATTGGCATTTCAGACTCTATAATTAATAAGTCTTCATTTTTTCTAATCTACAAATTCATTAACTTCTCAGCTTCCTTTGGATGTAATAAGTTTTCATTTTATCCTGAACTGAAAGTAAATAGTTGGAAAAAGGCTGTGGAGAGAACGAATGTACTTACATAAACTATAGAAATGATGCACAAAAACTGATGTTCGGATCAGTGTCTTATCTGTGCTGTCAGAATAAAATACTGGGATGTACAAGTTGTTCTGTGTTTAGTGAATATGAAAGTCACCTCCATGAAATAAACATTCCTTGTTCTCAGAGAACTGTTGTATCTCATGTTCCAAATTTAGCAGTTTGGCAAAACTTACCTTCTTTACTATTAGCTATACAGTCGTATGTCATGAGAGTGAAATCCAATGAGTTAAATTACAGGAAGGAAGTATTCTCATACACTCACTATTATCAGATAAATGTTTAGGACCACTTTTTTTTTTCCTGCCATAAACTAATTTTGCCGTATTTGTTCATCAGAAACGCACGTAATCACCACTCTAGGTGAACTCCCAGGCTGATTAAGCATGGAAAACTGGTGGCTAAGAGACTGCCTAGGCTCAAATTCCACCTCTGCTGTTTCCTAGCCAACCTGAATTTCCTCTTCTGTTATATGGTGCTGTTAGTTCTGTCTGTCTCATAAAATTGCTGTGAGGATCAAATGAGATAATTTCTCACAAGAATTAGCACAGAGCAAATGATCAATAAATATGAGTTAATTGGAGCCTGGGCTTAGCAGAGCAGTTAAGGCGCTGGTTAAGACACCCATATCGCCCATCAGAGTAGCTGGGTTTGAATCCCCATCTCTTGACTCCAGTTTCCTGCTAAGACCCTGAAAGACTACAGTAGGCTCAAATAATTCAATTTCTGCTGTGGATGTGGGAGACTTTGAGTTCCTGGCTTCCCACTTCAGCTTATCTAGGGGCCCTTGCAGGCATTTGGTGAGTAAACTAGTAAATGAGCCCTCTCTCTGTGTCTCTCTGTCTCTCTGTCTCTCAAAGAAATGGTTAAACTTGTGTGTTTTATGCTTAGTTTGGTGAAGTGTGAAAAGTCATAGGGAAATAAGATTGGACAGAGGGGCTGTCACTCAATAATAATAAGCTGGGGAAAATTTAGCAAGGCCTTCTTTTCAGATTCTCCTCTGTGACTGTGTCTCCAGAGATAAGGTTGCTTCCTTCTGGGTGTTGGGAGGGCACCTCTCACAGGAGGTTGTAGAACCTGCTTCAGGGTCAAGTCAGAACATCCTCCCTAGATTTTATGAACAACTTCGGGAGGAAGGGAATGAGAAGGTGTTAGTGACCTTCCTGCTTCCACCGTTCCCTCAAATGCCAAATGCTGTGTTTCAGAGTAGTATGTCCTGAACTCTGTCAGTATCCACGTGTGAGTGGGAGCATCCAGCTTCAGCCAGCCAGCCACTCACCTTTCTGTCTACCCATGTCAGAAGCTCCTTTTACTTTGTGAAGTTTCCACTGGTTATATAATTTTTTTAAGATTTACTGTTTTATTTATTTGAAGTCAGAGTTAAAGACAGAGAGAGGAGAGACAAAGAGGGAGAGATTTTCCATCCGCTGCTTCACTGCCCAAATAGCTGCAGCAGCCAGGTCTGGGCCAGGCCAAAGCCGGGAGCTTGGAACTCTGTCCTGGTCCCACATGGGTGCAGGGACCCAAGCACTTAGGCCCTTCTCCACTGCTTTCTCAGGGTGCATTTGCAAGGAGCTAGATTGAAAATGGAACAACCAGGACTCGAACTGTTATCCATATGGGATGCCAGCACTGCAGAATGCAGCTTAACCTACTGCCTCACAGTACCAGCCCCTGTTACTGTTTTCTAACACTTAAATCACTACAAATCTATTGACTGTGTTCTATTTTGCTGCTTGTTTCATTGAATCTCGTATATATATAATGATCTGCTTTTATATATACATATATGTATAATCTATATAGCCTTAAAGTGAGAGACTGAATCATAAAAAAGATGGGATTTTGTAATCATTTCTATTTTCCAAAGGCTAGAGTAAGTCATTTGGAATAGCAGTTTGGAAACAGGTATAAATTGAATTAATGGTATAAAATAAAGAAATAATAATTTGGCTGAATGTAAGGACTATGTTGCTTAGGGAGTATGGAAATAAATAGGCAGAAGTCCATTCACTAGGGGCCTGAGCACAGCTGAAATACTGGCCGAATACCAATGAATCTATTATTGGGAATATTTCTATGCCACTGTGAGTTGGTCTAGAGAACCCATTAGGCTCTTTGCTTGCTAATTTCCTTTTTGCTGTGAAATAATAAAGCCTAAATCATAGAACTAAATTTCACTTGCAAATTGCTGAAAGCCTTATTTCTCTAGTGAGATCAAATATGTCTTATGACATGTTTTTCCTTCTACTGTTCTCCCAGCTGTTGTTTCTTATTACTGAAATGGTGATGCATTGATATTGGTTCAATTACCAAAGTATTTGAACACATTTAAATTCATGGTGTATCGCAGGTAGTCAGACTAAGTGACTTTGATTATCAGGTGAGGTGTTTGATTTAAATTAAAGGAACACTTCCAAGAGATGATTTATAGAGTAACATGGAAGAATTCCCAAGGCCCACATCACTGATATTTTAGGGCCCACAAAAATAAGGACTATGTGGAAAATATGGAACATGGGCTTTCTGTGTACAGGCACCACTGCCATACTGCTCTCCTCTTTTTGGATCAGCACTGTGGGACCACATTATTATGGTTGAGAAAGCCTTAACACCAACCATTGTGTAAAGAAATAACTAAAGGGGCCGGTGCTATGGCATACCGGGTAAAGCCGCCACCTGCAGTGCCTGCATCCCATATGGGTGCCAGTTGGAGTCCCGGCTGCTCCACTTCCTATCCAGCTCTCTGCTAAGGCCTGGGAAAGCAGTACAGGATGGCCCAAGACCCTGGACCCCTGCACCCCCGTGGGAGACTTGGAAGAAGCCCCTGGCTCTTGGCTTCAGATCAGCACAGCTCTGGCCGTTGTGGCCATCTGGGGGGTGAACCAGTGGATAGAAGACCTCTCTCTCTCTCTCTTCCTTCCTTCCTCCCTCCCTCCCTCCCTCCCTCCCTCTGCCTCCCTGCAATTCTGCCTTTCAAATAAAATAATTAAATCTTAAGAAAAAAAGAACTAAAGCCCTGTGAATGCCATTCAAGAATGTATACCAGTTTCCAACTAGTAATGAAGTGAGAATGTTAAAAATGATTTTCATATTAAAATTACATTATTGTTAACCGCATAAGAAAAATACTTAGAGCTGATGTTTGGAAAGAGGATTCATATTAGATACAATAGAATTTTACCCCTTTAAAGAACAAAGGAAAAGATCAAGTTCAGTTGGAAACAGGTGTTTAAGGCTACATAGGAAATATTTAAAATAAGCAGTAATTCAAAGGGTTCCTATGGAGGGAAAATTTGAAATTTCACAATATTTTTAGTATTATTAACATTACTTCAGTTCGTGGATTAATGCTTATGGTCATGTTATACATTTGGGGAAAATGACCACCATGACCATGGATTCATATGTGTAATTTTCATAGATGATAATAGAAATTATCCTAGGAAGCTTACTAACAATGAGACATAAATATCTGCTGTATTTCTGAGTCCCTGGGTTATTGCAATGCAGCGTTAGTGCCATGAGATACCTCACTTTGTTTTGCTTTATCTGAAAATATCAGTCAATGCTAATAGCACAAAAATCCCACAGAGAGGAAGATTCTAACACATGAACCTATAAACTCTATCATAAATGGTACTGAGTCCAATGACTGGCTGTTGAAATGTGCTGTTTTTCTTTTTTTTTTTCTTTTTTTTTTTTCCATTCTTATCGCTCTGCCATCTGCTGGATCTCCCAATAAGTCTTTGTTCTGTCAAGAAACCCAGCCCCTTCTAGTTGATGATGTCTTGGGAAACTATTGCAGCAATGAGAGTGCATGTGGAAGTGGTTGTGAGGAACACTGAGCTAATTAAGACCTCACAAATGTTCTGTCTTTCACAGCCTGTCAACCAGGGTCGTCACTATCAGAAAGAAATGAATCCGCCTTCTCCTTCTAACCCCAGGTAAGAACCATTAATATTGTAAATGAATTTTTAAAAGTGATTTAGAAGATTATACATTTTTCTTTGTTCCATGAAGTTATTTCCCAAAACTTCCAGGCAGCTTTGCGCCAGAGTTCTTTTCTTTTGAAGTCTTAGTTCATCCAGTGTTCTTACTCAGTCTGTGGAGCAATAACAACAGTCTCCCTAGATTTAAATTCCACTTTTCACCAACTGCAGGGCTTAGAGCAAGTCATTTAACTCAAAGTAATCGAGGTATAATAACTGCTTCATAGTGTTTTGGGGAGGTTCAAATGAGCTAGTCCATGAAAAATTCTTAGTGGAATTCCTGGCACACGGTCAACTCTCTGTAAGTGTTCATTTACTCATTATTGTTTTGTTTGCAGAAACACTTCATTTTAGTGCATATTAAGATATTTAATATATTTTAGGTGTAAACCTGTGCTTTAAGATTTATTTATTTGAAAGGCAGACTCACAGAGAGTGGGAGAGCCAGAAAGAGAGAGAAAAATCTTCCATTCATTGGTTCATTCCCCCAAATAACTACAATGGCCAGAGCTAAGCCAGACCCAAGTCAGGAGTCTGAAAGTCCACCCAGGTCTCCCCTATGGGTAACAGGGGCCCAAGTACTTGGACCATCTTCTGGTGCTTTCCTAGGGGCATTAGCAGGGAGCTGGATCAGAAGCAGAGCAGCCAGGACTCAAACTGGCACCCATATGGGATGTTGACATTGCAGGCAACAGCTTAACCTGCTACACTATAATATTGGCCCCAGACATACATCTTTTTATATACTTTGATGCCTTTCACTTTATCAAGTTAGCTTACGTGAGTTCGAGTAGGCAGTCTCTTTGTTCATAATTTCAAAAAATTATAATATCCGCTGGCGCCGCAGCTCACTAGGCTAATCCTCCACCTTGCGGCGCCGGCACACCAGGTTCTAGTCCCGGTCAGGGCGCCGGATTCTGTCCCGGTTGCCCCTCTTCCAGGTCGGCTCTCTGCTGTGGCCAGGGAGTGCAGTGGAGGATGGCCCAAGTCCTTGGCCCCTGCACCCCATGGGAGACCAGGAGGAGCACCTGGCTCCTGCCTTCGGATCAGCGCGGTGCGCCGGCCGCAGTGCACCGGCTGCAGCGGCCATTGGAGGGTGAACCAACGGCAAAGGAAGACCTTTCTCTCTGTCTCTCTCTCTCTCACTGTCCACTCTGCCTGTCAAAAAAAAAATAATAATCTCAAAATTATGTCATTATTTCAAAAAATATCATTGGCTTATGTGCCATTTAGCAATACAGAAAAACATCATATTTTAAGCTTATTAGGAACAAGCAAATCTGAATTTAAATTTGGAAACATATGCTGTATTTTATGTCTATAAAAGCTAGTTTATCCATGTAAGTTACTATCACTTTATTGTACTAGGAATTTATTGAAAAGTCAGTCTCTCTTGAGCTCCGGCCCCAAAGGCTATTACTAAAATGCATCTCATTTTCAAGATGCAGCTCAAGCTATCTAACCTGTATTGTGGATTATCCCATGGAATAGACCAGAACTACTGATAGCACTGTATTGTGACTCTAGGTATTGGTATCTATTACATAGTATCAGAATCCAGTTACATGCAACAAAAAACTTGGCTAATATGAAATGAGGAGAAATAGAAAGGAAGAGAGAAAGGCAAATGATATTTGTTAAATTAGAATACAGGGCTATATCTTAAACAGTACTTTAAAACATTCGTGGAAGAATGGAATTTTGGTGCAAAACAATTAGAAATCCATGCAGTTTTTTTCATAATGCACATTATCCATGAACTGTTTGAAGACTACCTCCTATGCATGGATTTCACAATATTTACACCAAAATAAACTTACCTTTCAGTTTCATTTTCTACCAGCTTTTTAGATACTCTCAGAACCCACAGAGAGCCAGGACTCAGGAACAGCCTGAAACCAGGATCTCGAAATCCAGCAGGCAGCCACACAGTGTCCTTGCTCCATCTCTCCTTGCTTCCTCCTGTCTGCTCCATTCTTCTCTCTAATCACCAGCCTTCTCAGCTTCCCATACCACATACGGTTGTCTGACAGCTCTTGAGTTTACATATTACAGTTCAAAGTACTTGCCAAAGCTGACAGATTATGTCTGAATCCCCAGTCTCTACTTCCCAAGAGAGAGTGATGGGCCTGACTCGGATCCATCTCTGCTTCTGGTCCAGGCAGGAATGAGCGGTGCACAAGGCCTTGTTGAAACTGATGACTCTCAAGAGCCCACCCAAGTGGTTTACCTAACCTAAAATATTCACAACAGAAGAATAGATGTTCTTTATTAGTGATCTCTTCAAAGTGTTCCTAGCCTATTCACATGATCTGCTCATTCTTTTATTTTACCTAGTAGAGGGAATTGTGCCTCTCATAATAACTTTAATAAGGAGTTCAAAATTGAGATTGGGTCAAGCATTGTGGCACAGTGGGCTAAGCACCAAGTGGGATACCCGTATCCCATTTTTGAGTGCCTCGTAATAGACTTGGCTGCTCTACTTCTGATCTATCTTCCTGCTAATGTGTACCCTGGGAGGCAGCAGGTGATGGCTCAAGAACTTTGGTCTCTGGCACCCACGTGAGAGACTCAGATGGGATTCCTGGCTCCTGGCTTTGGGGAATGAACCAGTAGGTGGAAAGTCTCTCTCTCTCTCTCTCTCTCTCTCTCTCTCTCATTTACACACACACACACAAACACACACACACGCTCACTTGTTTTCAAATTTAAGGGTGTTTTGTTTTTTAAAGATTTATTTATTTATTTGAAAGTCAAAGTTATACAAATAAGAGAAGGAGGCCGGCGCCGTGGCTCAATAGGCTAATGCTCTGCCTTGCAGCACCGGCACACTGGGTTCTAGTCCCGGTCGGGGCGCCGGATTCTGTCCCGGTTGCCCCTCTTCCAGGCCAGCTCTCTGCTATGACCCGGGAGTGCAGTGGAGGATGGCCCAAGTACTTGGGCCCTGCACCCCATGGGAGACCAGGAGAAGCACCTGGCTCCTGCCTTCGGATCAGCGCGGTACGCTGGCCGCAGCGCGCTGGCAGCAGCGGCCATTGGAGGGTGAACCAACGGCAAAGGAAGACCTTTCTCTCTGTCTCTCTCACACTATTCACTTGGCCTGTCAAAAAACAAAAAACAAAAATAAGAGAAAATAAGAGGAGGAGAGAGAGAGAGAGAAATATCTTCCATCCACTGGTTCACTCCCCAGATGGCCACAATGTCTGGAGCTGTGCCAATCCAAAGCCAGGAGCCAGGAGCTTCTTCCAGGTCTCCCATGCGGGTGCAGAGGTCCAAGACCTTGGGCCATTTTCTGCTGCTTTCCTAGTCCATAGCAGAGAGCTAGATAAGAAGTGGAGCAGCTGGCTCTAGAGCTGGTGCGCATATGGGATGCTGGCACTGCAGGTGGCGGCTTTACCCACTATGCCACAGCACCAGCCCCAAGGGGTGTTGTTTTTAAAAGTTGAGATTGGAGAGGCGGGCTTTAGGCACAGCAATTAAAATACCACTCGAGACACCTTCATCCCATATAATAATACCTGGGTTTGAGTTCCAGCTCCATTTCCTATTACAGTTTCTTGCTGATGTGTACCTAGGAAGCAGTAGATGACGGCTGAAGTCCTTAGGTCCCTGCCAGCCACATGGAAGGGATGGATTGAGTTCCTAGGTCCTGGCTTCAGCTTGGCCCAGCCCTGACTGTTACAGATATTTGAGGAGTGAGTCAGCTGTTAGAGGATTTCTCTCTCTCTCTTTCAAATAAATTCTATTTTTTGCCATTGAAATTAGAATTTCAATATATATGAAAAAATGTTTTTGCATTCTTAAAATCAGTTGTCTCTTGATAGTAAAGAGCTTATCACTTGCATTCTTGCAGTTCTCCCTGATTTATCTAACAAATAGGTAATTGGAAATTCAACTTTGATCCAAATTCTAACAAAACCAGAATTTTTGGTCTGAAGAAATGAGAATGATAGTAAAAGTGTTAAAAAGTGGAGCCTTTTGTTCCAGTCAAGGAAGAAAAAGAACCTAATTGTCCCAATTTTGCTACTAACCTACTCTGTGGTCTTGGACATTCCTCTTGACTTCGCCAGACCGGTTGCTAATATGAACACCTTCATATTAAAAGAAAGGGTTTGAGTTCCATGCTGTCTGAGATCACATCCAACTTTTTGAATCTATGACTTTTATGAGACTCAAAAAACCAGTCGCACCATGAAAGGGTCATGCTAATTATTTTGCTGTCCTGTGTAGAAAATGTACTTGATAAATATTGTGTGGATGGATGAATGGATGACTAGATATGTGTATGTGGTAGCAGATGACTTTAAATATTTATTTTGTATGTTGATTCCCAAAGTTAGGATATCAAAAAGATGGATTATAAGAAAATTCACTTATGGAACAAGAATGTATCTTATGCAACCATTAGGGAAAATTAGTTTACATTTCTTCATAAAGAAATGAAAAGACAAAACTCTAAATAGAAAAAAATGTCATAAACCCCACTTGCCAGCCGATTTTCCACCAGTTTTCTAGAAAATTATTATGTAGCTGTTCAGAAAACCTGCATATTATATGGTATGGCTCTTGGCTCATGAATCCAGCAGCCTGGAGAATTGACAGGAAGGCATCACTGAGCCATAAATACAGCAGATGATACAATTATGAAATCAGCATATATCATCATATGAAACTGGAAAAAATGACTCATGGAATACACATAATTTAACATAAAATTGAAAGCTGTGATTCTTCTTAAGATCGGTATTTACTAGATTTCTTACACATGCATGCCATGATTTTGTCTTCAAAATACAGAATTTTAAAATTAACCTTTAAAATTAAAGGATACTGATAATTAATATGAACAAATACGAACGAGAAGTTGTAAGTGTCTAGTGCCTACCATCTTGGATAAGCAAGTATCTAACATGAATCCTGGATTGAAAGTGCTGCATATACAGACTTTGAATAAT